AGTTTCCTTGCCTGTGTCCTAAAATTGTAAAACATAAAGGTGGCACCACACGGCTTCAAGCAAATATTTAATCACTCTCTGGGGTAGTTGAACTCTGGAGGTTTCACTGAGTGTGAATAATTTCTGAATACAAACATCCTTGTCACACCAATAACTTAATAAATAATAATCGATACATTTACATAAATCAATTCAATAATACTTAAGTTTACCTGAATTATCAAAGTTACATATCAGAGAGAAAGACACAGGGATGTTCTTGGTTTTAGGATGGAAGCAGAGTGCAATTATGAACAAAGCGGAACTTTAAAAGGGAAATATTTTTCTTTTTTAAAAAAGCACTTCATTGAGGTATAGTTGACATAGAAAAAGCTAGGCATGTTTATTGTATACAACTTAATGAGTTTGGAGAGAAATATCCACTCCTAAAACTAGCACCACATTCTATGCCATAAACATATCCATCACCTCCGAAACTTCCACCCTCTTTATTATTTTCTTTTTTGTAATAAGAATACTTAAAGTTAAGATTTACCCTCTTAGCAAACTTTTAAGTATGACACACAGTATTGTTAACTCTAGACACAATTCTATACAGTAAATCTCTAGGGTTTATTCATCTTGTATTACTGAAGCTTTGTACCTTTTGACTAATACCTCCCCATTTCCCCTGTTCCCCATCTGCTAGCTACTGCCACTCTATTCTCTGTTTCTATGAGTTTGACTATTTTAGATTCCTCATATAGTACTATTTATACTCCTCATTATATTCCTTGTATAACACTGTCCTCCTTATCTGGCTTACTTAGCACAGTATTCTCAAGTTTCATCCATGTTGTCAAAAATGGCAGGATTTCCTTCTTTTTCAAGGCTTAGTAATACTATGTTGTATGTTTATACCACGTTTTCTTTATTCGTTTGTCTCTGGACATTGTTTCAACCTCTTGGCTATAGTGAATAGTGCTGCAGTGAACATGGAAATGCAGATATATCTTTGAGATTCTAATCTCAATTCCTTTGGATAAGAAGTGGTATTGCTAGACCTTATGGTAGTTCTATTTTTAATTTTTTGAGGAACGTTTATACTGTTTTCCATAGTGACTGTACTGATTACATTCCCATCAGCCATGTAGAAAGATTCCAAAATTTCTCCACATTCTCGTCAACACTGATTTCTTTTTAAATTTTTATAATAGGCCATCCTAACAGGTATGAGATGCTATCTCATTGTGGTTTTGATTTGTATTTCTTTGATTGTAATTTATGTTGAGTATCTTTGGTGGTAAACATAGCTGCCATCCAAAGTGAAATTTCTAAGATGCATTTAGAAAACAATAGCGCTAATGAACTCCTAATGGCTAGAGATAATATGCAACTCTCCCAAGGATTTATACCTTTTCTTGGTCCTAGAACCAAAACAAGAAATTTGATTTTAAGTTACTTAAAATTGTTAAAGACGTTCTTGCTGAAGCCCCGTGATCTGGAGAGGCCTCTAGCCCTGCTTTAGGCCTTCAGCTCAAGGGACAAAAATCTGTATTACCTAATTTTATGCAGTGTTTGCCTTCAGATATGTTTAGGGAGTGAATATTGGCCTGAATTTAGAATAAAATTAACAAAAAGTATTTGAGGACCAGTATTTTCACTATGCTAGGAACTTTGACAATAATTCAATCGTGAATGACAGTAATTCAATTGTGAAAGATAATTTATATAAATTTTGCAACAGTACACATAGATTTATTTATAAAATACACTTTAATGTTTTATAGATTGTATGATTAATGATTAAATTTAACAAGTGTATCTTCTCATTTTATTGTAATGCCTAGATAATAAGCACTATTAAATAATATTTGTTTCTTATTCCTGACCTCTAGTTAGGTGAAATTAGACTTTCTAGGACTTTGCTGTATAGCAAATTACTGCTTATTTATTCCAAAGTTAGCTCCTCTATTGTATAATCTAGGGGAAGTGGAAGCATACTTTTCCATTGTAGGCATGGAACCATCTTAAATAGACTTCTGAAATATGAAGAAACATTTCAAAGTGGTATTTTAAGTATAATAATCTAGAGTTAAGAGTTTATCTTAGTTCTTAGACTTCAGATTTTAACTCTTGTCTATGAGAAGACTGTTTCCCAAATGAATATCCCTGTAAAATATTAAAATGTGTGTATTTTTAATATCACAGTGTAACTAAAACAATATTTAACTCGTGTGTGCTGACCATGGTACGTGTCCACGTGTCAATATCTTACCTTGTCTCAACTTGAAAACCTGTTCTTAGAACTCACTTGGCTTTTTGTGTATGCAGTGCGTAAAAACATTCAATAAACGTATTTTCTTCAATGTTTCGTTTAGTTCCAACTCACATCCTGCTATAGAGGACTCAAAAAAGTAAAAGACGAAAATATTTTAAGAGGTTCAGCAAATACGTGGGAAGGATAATTCTGATTCTTGGTCTGTGAAATTTACTTTTTTTTTTTTAATGGAAATCTATTCTATTAATATCTAGGAAGAACAATCTCTTTTTGAAGGTGACTACATGTATGTATTTGAAATTGCTATTCATTACTGTGAGTTGCTGCAAGCCAATCTTAGAATTGGTTTGAATTCCATCTTTTATTATTATTCATTATAATGACATTAAAAATACGCTGCATATTACTTCTAGAGATAGTCAGGAAGTTCAAATTTTCTAATACTTCAAGGCTTTGGGACAGATAAAGTTTCCTTTACTACGTGCACATTCACTTGGTCAAGTAGAGCTGTCATGTAAATTGCTAAATAGATATTTAATATTTGAAATTAGAGGAATGAAATTAAAGTAAGTAAAACTTACTTTTACTAAGTATACTAACATACACGTGCTCAATCGTGCATGTATATTATTTGAAGGGAATTTTGTTTAATTGACATTGATTGATCTTATTGAAATCCATTGTGCTTTAACACTAGACATCATAAGATACACAATTCTAAATTATAGAGATAGAGATACTTGTTTATGCCTTGTTACATACTCTAATAATAATGACCTGGGTTTAGAAAACACTAGTTCTCTTTATAGAAAATTCGTGTGTAATTTAGCTGACTTTTATTTCTGCCTTGATAGTTGTGTGTTTATTAAGTTTAATAACCTACTTTTTCACAAGGTATAGTATAAAAATTTTTAAATCCTTCACAAAAAATGATTTTCAAAATTACAACACTTCATTGAACTTGACTAGTTATGAACTTGAGACATTTCCATAGACACAAGCAGCTGACATATTTCGTGATTCTAAATTAATGGGAATAGTGAATTAGTTCCTTGGGGATTCCATGGCTGTTAGGACCAAGGTGCTTTTGTGTTGACTCCACATGCAGATACCATGAATTTACCATTTTGCAGCTATGCCATCTGGCAGTCAATATCTTTAATCAACTATTACAAAAATAATCAAGGAAAATGTTTTGTGTTAATGAAATACTAGATTCTGAATATTTTAGGAGCATGTTTTGTTGGGTGTTGCTTATTCCGTTAATAATAGTGAAATCTGAGTTATAAAGACCAATTAAGAGTGCTTAGGAATTCAGAAATATCTTTCAAACAGTAATTACAGGGATAGAAAAAACAAATATAGTTTACAACTAAGTATTTAGATTTTAGATTTTATTTTTTATAAGTCTTTAAGCAAAAGAGTTATATTTTAATGTGTAATGATGAAAACTATTAGAAGCCATTCAGAATATGAAGGAGGTATGATTGTATACTAAACTATATACAAGTATTGTATGCTAAAATAATGAATGTGTTTTTTACATTTACATTTGTTGGCAATGTTTAGTAGATAGCTACAAAACTATGTATGACCAAAGTTGGAAAAAGCAAAATTTGTTAAGCTGCAATATCTGTAGCATCCGTTTTATTACAGGATACTGTAAGAGTCCTGGCTGCTCACTGGAATCATCTAACAGACTATGTGTAATATTTATCCAGTACCAAACCAATTAAATTAGATTCTCCATTCAACATCATTGTTCTACAAAGCTTCTATATCATAGAATAGCACTGCTTGATAGCACTGTTTTCATAATAATGTGTGTTGAGTATCACCATTGAATCTTACCCAGAAACATCAGCTTTTGGTCCTTTGCCTATAAGGAACAATTTTTTGCAGATTGAGTATTCACTACATATATATATTCACCATATATAGTTTCTCCATATATATATTCACCATATATATACACACACACATATATATATAACATGGTGGTTCAACTCCATGTTTCACTCATATTAGATGTATAATATTAATAGATTCACTTAGGATAATATGAGTGAGACAAGGGGTTGAACCACCATATGAGAAATTGGGGCATGAACGAGAGAAGAATCCTGAGGAGTAGTTTTCAAGACCTAAGTCAGGTTATTGAGGGATACAATGAACTTTTGTTTTCTTGAAGTGTTTAGGATTAATTTTTGTCATTTTTTTAAACTTCAAAGACTTCTTAAAGTAGCTTTTAATTTAATGATCAATTTTTCTTTTTTGGGGAAATATAATTCTCTTTCTCTGCAAATATCTCAGTGTTTCTATTAATTTATCACAGAATTTCAACATGAATCAGCATTCAGGAAGTCACTAGGCATTTTTACTAAGTTTAAATTATAGGATAGAGTTTTGCAAATTGCAATAATTACCTTTTGAATAACAACATTTGTGGGAGTAGTAATTTCAATTTTATTAATTTTCTGTACACTTATATGTGTTTCCAGACTGATTTATGAGAGAAAAAGGTAGTCATTCATTGTATGAAGTGCATTTGTAGCATACATTCATTCCAGTGATTCAAGTCACAACTTTTGCAACACAGATGTGCATCATTCTGCAATGTACACGCTCAAGCTTATGATATTATAACGCTTTACTTTATAGATTGAAGAAGTAAAGCTTAAAGTGATACACTCTTCTCTTTAACACCATTACACTTTTCATTCTTTTTTCTATTGCACAGGTGATTTGGATTATTATTGGTTGGATCCTGCCACGTGGCACAGCCGGGAGACATCACCTATTAGTTCGGTAAGTTTTCTGGGAAGTGTGTTTGAAGTTTAGGGAATGTGTGTGCTCGTTCATTGTCCTTTGTCTGATATGTGATATCTGCTCCATTATTCATTTGGTAAGGGCAAATATTGATTTCATTTAAGATAGTACAGTTTTGAAGAAAAAAGCAGTTATTACTGAATAATTATAACAAATTTTAAGTAAAAAACGATTATTAAATAATGACTGTAAGAAAGATTGAGATGTTTAGTTATGGATATTGACATTAACAAGTCAACATACAGAATCAGTTTTCTTTATATAAGCAGATATATTTTTAAATTTCAATTAATTCCATTTTAGAACCATTTAAAAATGTATACTTATTTGCCAACCAGTTTAAGCAACTTTTAGTATAAATTTCTGCTACAAATGAAATATAGTTATAAGCCAAGGATGGAGTCCACTGAAATTTCCTCTAGAGTGTCTTTTAACTGAGGAAATTGCATCATGCTACAACTAATAATTTGTGTCTATAGGAAAGAAAGCAAGTTGTTTGCTTTTTAAAAGTTTAATAGGCCTTTTCGAGCAGTTTTAAGTTTACAGAAAATTTGAGGAGAAAGTACAGAATTCCCATATACTTCCTTACTCCACCCCTTTCCACCTGTTTAGCTGGTTGTTAACATCTTGCATTAGTGTGGTCCATTTGTTATAACTGATGAGCAAATATTGATGTATTATTATTGACCAAAGTCCATAGTGTACATTAGGTTCATACTTCATGTTATACATTCTGTGGGTTTTAACACATTTATAATGTCATGTATCCACCATTACAGTATCACACCGAATAGTTTTACTGCTCTAAAAATCCCTGGCACCACTTATTGATCCCTCTCTCCTTTCTTCCCTGCTAAGTCCTTGACAGCCACTGATCTTTTTATTGTCTCTGTAGTTTTTCCTTTTCCAGAACGTCCCATGGTTAGAATCATACAATTTATAGCCTGTTCAGATTTGCTTCTTTCACTTAACAATATGCATTTAAGGTTCTTCGCTGTCGTTTTGTGGCTTGGTAATGCTTTTTGGTTTGTTTATACCTTTGAATAATATTTTTGTCTGGATATGCCCAGTTTATTTATCAATTCCTTAGGATTTAAAAATATTTTTAGGTTGATATTATAAATGAAAATATTTTTCAATAATGATTTCTAAGTTACTCTGCCAGTTGTTCCTATTATTTGTCTTATATTTTATTTTTTAATTGACACATAATAATTGTACATATTTATACAGTACATAGTGATGTTTCAGGACATATAATGTATAGTGATCAGGTCAGGGTAATTAGCATATCCATCACCTCAAACATGTATCATTTCTTTGTATTGGGAACATTCAATGTCCTCCTTCTAGCTTTTAGAAACTATATATTATTAACTATAGTCATCCTATAGTGCTATAGAACACCAGAACTTATTCCTCATATATAGCTGTAATTGTGTATTCTTTAACAAATTTCTCCCTATCCTTCCCTTCTCTCTGCCTTCCCAGCCTCTATTATCCTCTATTTTACTTTGTACTACTACGACATCAACTTTTTTTTAGCTTCCACATGTGAGTGAGAATGTGCAGTGTTTAACTTTCATGCAGGAACTAACATGTTCCTGGCTTATTTCACTTAACATAATGTTCTGCAGTTCTATCCCATGTTACCTCTAATGACAAGACTTCATTCTTTTTATAGCTGAATGCATTCTACTCTGTATATATTACTTTTTAAACTCGTTCATGTTTTAACAGCATCCTGTAACGTGGCAGCCATCTAAAGAGGGGGACCGATTAATTGGACGTGTTATTCTTAACAAGAGAACAACCATGCCCAAAGAATCGGGTGCATTGCTGGGTCTGAAAGTAAGTATGCTGGTTTAAAATGTTTCTTAAAGAGTGAATTACACTATGGTCTGCATTCATCAGAGTTTCTGGCAATGATTTTTAAATGTCATTTTAATATTTTATATAATTTTATTGATATAGCATATAGATGTGTTAGGAAAATTGAATAAACTTTAGGGAAACTAATGTATTTTTTTCTGACTATAAAGTTCAGGATAATTTCTTGCATTAAGATTTAAATGGAAAGTAGCATAGATAATGTGGACTTTTATTGTAACTTGAGCAGCAACATAAACATTAAAGGGATCACTTTCTAATTACAAGAGTTTTGTAAGAATTTTTTTAAATTAATGTACTTAATAGTGCCCTCTTGTTAATTATTACCGTTAATTACTCCTGTGTGAAATAATTCTGATTACCTCCACTAATGGGTGTGCCACTAAAGAATTGTGGATGAATCTCAACTTTTGGTGATATTCTCTTCATTTTAAATTATATATATTTGAGCCCCTGCATCGGAAAAACTTAAACATAGATTTTAAAATATTCTATAATAAAACTCAGATTTTGATAGTCTTATGGGCATAGATACATATTTCAGATGAGATGGTCAGCTGCAGAGATGCATTTAGGCTATTAGGCTTTGCACAATGGTAAATTGCTTCCCCCAAATGTCATTTGCTTGGCTTGAATCTAGTCTTTATGGTCATAGACCTACATTTTACTACAGATATACAAAAGAGATCAAGATCTGATCAAGATCTGATATTGACAATGGGATATTATCTTCATGTAGAAATAATAATTCAAATGGTACACATGAATTTGAATGATAAAGAAAAATGAACTTTAATGTAAACTGTCAAACACTTGCTGTTTGATACTAAGTGAGGAAGACCTGGCACCTGTTTTCTAAGTATATGCATTATTTATGGTGCCCTTTTATTGTTAGGTCACTTTAAGACAGGGCTGTTTAATCTTTTGGCTTCCCTGAGCAACATTGGAAGAAGAAAAATTGTCTTGGGTCACACATAAAGTACATCAACACTAACAGCTGATGAGCTAAAAAAAAAAAAAAACCTCATAATGTTTTAAGGAAGTTTTACAAGTTTGTATTGGGCCACATTCAAAGCCATCCTGGGCCGCTTGTGGCCCACTGACAGCGGGTTGGACAAGCTCGCTTTTAAGAAATCAGTACAGACTAGGTGCAGTGGCTCATGCCTTTAATCTCAACACTTTGGGAGGCAAAGGTGAGAGGGTCGCTTGAGCCCAGGAGTTTGGGACCAGCGTTGTCAACACGGTGAGACCCCTTCTCTACAAAATTTAAATTAAAAAATTAGCTGACTGTAGTGCCTGCACATGCCTGTAGTCCCAGCTGTTTGGGAGCCTGAGGTGGGAGCATCACTTGAACCTGGGAGTTCATGGCTGCAGCCATCTATGATCATGTCAGCACACTCCTCTGTGGGTGACAGAGTGAGGCCTTGTCTCAAAAAAAAAAAAAAAGAGAGAGAGAAGAAAGAGAGAGAGAGAGAGAGAGAGAGAGAAAGAAAGAAAGAAAGAAGGAAAGAGAGAAAGAAAGAAGGAAAGAGAGAAAGAAGGAAAGAGAGAAAGAGAGAAAGAGAGAAAGAGAGAAAGAAAGAAAGAAAGAAAGAAAGAAAGAAAGAAAGAAAGAAAGAAAGAAAGAGAGAAAGAGAAAGAAAGAGAGAGAGAGAGAAAGGGAGGGAGGGGAGGGGAGAGAAAGAAATCTGTACATGAAAAGAAAGAAAGATATCAGTACCCAAACTTCCTTAGGACACATAGTCATCTCAAATATGAGATGTTTTCTTTTCAAAACTGTTCTCCCAGCTACTTTAATCAAAAAAGTAAGTGAAGTGCCGGTGGCTCACACCTGTGATCTCAACACTTTGGGAGACCAAGGCAGGAGGACCACTTGAGCCCAGGAGTTCAAGATCAGCCTGGGCAACATAGCAAGACCTTGTCTCTACAAATAATTTTAAAAATTAGCTGGGCGTGGTGGTGTATGCCTGTGGTCTAGGCTACTTAGTAGGCAGAATTTGAAGGATCACTTGAGCCTGGGAGGTCGAGGCTGCAGTGAGCTGTAATCATGCCACTGCACTCTAGCCTGGGTGACAGAGCAAGATCCCATCTCAAAAAAAAAAAAAAAAAAAAAATGTGTTTCGCTTCATTAATGTTTCTACATGCAATTTCAAGTACATCATAAAAGAATGTAGGATTAATTCCTCAAACTAACAAGCTTATGTTTTGGTATGAGTCTTGGAAACTTAAAAATTTGTAATTATCCAGGTTGTTGGAGGAAAAATGACTGACTTAGGACGACTTGGTGCTTTCATCACCAAAGTAAAGAAGGGTAGCCTAGCAGATGTAGTTGGACACCTAAGAGCAGGTAAAGTTTCTTTTTTTAATATTTAAACAGTGTTTTCTCCATACATGAACATGAGTTGGTGGTTTTCAATTTGGGGTTAGTTTTATACATACATACATACATATATATATGTATGTATGTATCAATGAAGTCACTAAATTTTAATGCATGAATACAGATTTTTTTCCTGATATAAATATTTACCAATTGCAATAGTAGGTAACTCTACATCAGCAGCAATCTGGAGAGTAAGGATAGGAATCTTCTTTATTTATATAAAAATAAAAAGATGTAAAATATAGAAGAATTACTCGTTTTTGGAGATGACATCATAATATTGCTACAAAACTTGAAATCTAAAACAATTTATGAAAAAAAAATTATATCACTATTTAGTTATTTAGTTTATATTTTAAGCTACAGTAATTACCAAATTTTTCAGAGCGGTCCTGAAACACTTATTCAGGAGCAGTGTTTTTAGTAAAACATAATCATTATAACATTTCTTACACAGATTGTATAATAAAATATTAGTTAATTTAAAAGTGGCATATACTGTACTCATGCAGATGTGCTGCCTCTTGGTATTTAGAAATTTATTTTTGTTGCCCTATAACTGAACATGGCACAATGGAATTATTTAATGTATGTTAATGTATCATATATTAAATAGTAACACATTTTAAAATCTATTTTTAGTAAATAGTTAACTTTTCATTTTTGTTAAAATCACATTAAAATATTTCTTCCAGTTGACTTTACTGCAGAGCTTAGTAGAAATATTTTTGTTAGATGGCTGTTTATGTATTTGCCAGACAACTATAAAGGAAACACAGTTGGCTAAGCTGTGGAATTAAAGATTAATAACCCATAACACAGACTACATTTCCAGGTGATATTCTTAACTTTTAAACCTTAAGTTAGTGATTCTTGAAAACTTTGGCAAAATATTATAGGACTCTTAAAGACTTTTCAGTGTGTTTGTTTACCAGGATATCAGTTCAAAATCATTTTAGTTTTTTTTTTTTCTTTTTTTTTAATTTGACAAGGACTTGCTGTGCAGGTGTATAGGAAGAAAACTCCATACAGATGGATTTTTCTCCATCTGCTATATGACTTTGAATATGTATAGAGATATGTTACACTGTTATTTCTTATGAAGTACCAGTTATGATTCAGTAGGAAAATAACTCATTCAGGGTTTATTGTGTCAGTAAACTGAGTGTGTGTTTGTCTAATGACTCAAAAATAAGCCTCAGAAAGTCTGAGAATCCCTTGTTGGCTAATGTAAGATAACTTTAACTACAGAAACCTGAGTTTGCAGACCACATTATAAACATTATATACACATTATACACACATTATTATGTTTTAATGGGAAGTTACTTAAGAAGTAAAAGAAGAGGAGTGTTCTATATAAAATATCTGTTAATGATTCATTTCAAGAGCCAAGAGCCCGAGAAACTTAAATCTGAAATGTTAAAAGCTCGGCTTAACTATAAAGCAGACAAGTGTACTTTTCATTCTAAGCAATTTATGTATTTGAAGAAAGTAAAGTGATTTTACAGACTCAATCATATATCCTATTTGATTTACATTATAATTTAGGAACTGACTAAATATTTGCATATTTGCAAATAGAATTATTTGCGTATAAACATCTTTAGCCAGTTTTTTAAAAATCAATGTGACTTTTATTTAACATTTGCAATCTTGCTTTAATCTTGCAATATCTTTATCCAGTACTGCCCCGCTTCAAGTCTATGCACTGTACTGCTACTTCGTTTAACCTTGTAAAACACAAAAATGACACTGACACTCTCTTTATTATGAAGATCCTTCAGTGTTTCCTAGTTATCATTTGTTCAAGTCAAAGCTCTGTAGCCTTGTCCTCTACTAACACTTTCAGCTGTCCAGGATGTTGGTCCACCTGTAGGTTCCTGTCAGGCTGTTTCCCACCTAGAAGACGTGGTCAATGACTCTTGTCTACCTAGTTTTCTACTCCTCCTGTTGAAGGCCTTTCCATCCTTCACAATTCATCTGAAGTTGCCTTAATTCTAAAGTGGTTCCTAATATCTCACCTGGAACAATAACTAATTACTATGTTCCTGGCACCACTTGACTCTATTTCTGGTTCTCAAATGAACTTCTATTGTTGCATATAAAATATTTTATTAAAGTTATTTGTTTCTGTATCATTTCTTCATGACCAAATTTAAAGACCAATAAAATGTCATTTTCATCTTTGTACCCTCGTTGTCTACATCCCTGCTTGATTATCCACACATAAATAATATAAAAAAAAAAAAGCATTCTGGTTTAGGAATTATTAATCTGTAAATAAATAAGCATATTTATTAAGTTAATTTATATTAAAAGTTATGTGTTCAGGTTGCTGCTTATGAAAAGGAGAGTTTTAAAATGCAGTGCTTTTGCAAACTGCTGGTTGCAACTTATTATTGGGTAGTAAAATCAATTTAATCGTTTGTACCTACCACTTTAAAAAATTGAAGTAGAACATAATAAAATAGAAAAATCAGGGTAAGTATTGTTTTACAAATTTTTTAGTGTGTATATATATGTATGTACTCATATAATATGAATGTATATATATACACACACACACATATATATAGTGTTCATATTATATGTGTACAGGACCATGATGTCAACTTTGTTTCTTTTCTTGGTCAAAAAGTTTTGAAGGCACTCTTGATGTGTTATAAATTTGTAATTATCATTTTTCTTTTTTTTTTTTTTTTTTACAGTGAAGTATGTTCATTGCCTATTTGAAAAGCTTTTCTAGGTAGCAGCTTAGGGCAGTCTATTAGAATTGGTGGCCGGGCACCGTGACTCACACCTGTAATCCCAGCACTTTGAGAGGCTGAGGCGGATGCATCACCTGAGTTCAGGAGACCTGGCCAGCCTGGCCAACATGGTGAAACACCGTCTCTACCAAAAATACAAAACTTAGCTGGGCATGGTGGTGGATGCTTGTAATCCTAGCTACTCAGGAGGCTGAGGCAGGAGGATTGCTTGAACCTGGGAGGCGGAGGTTGCAGTGAGCCGAATCACGCCACTGCACTCCAGCCTGGGCAACGAGAATGAAACTCTGTCTCCAAAAAAAAAAAAAAGAATTGGTGATTACCATAGTATCTTACCAAACCAAAGCAGCATCATGTACTTTTCACATATTTGCTTTTTACTCTTCAGTGAGCAAACAACTGGAAAATATAATTACTTTAAAGTAATACTAGCAAAGCAATTTTCCTACTTTTATTAAAAAAATTCTAACTACACATTGAAAAGATTTTATGCTTATACTTGGCTGTAAAATGTACACTGATGATATTGACCCAGTATGTCAACACAAATTTACTTTGCTCATAAAATGTTCTAGATACTGAGAACAACAAAATAAGCATAAACATCAAAAAATTAAGACACCTCAGTGCATCAATGAGGTTGGAATATTTCAGCTGAGACTACCATTTTGAATTGAAGGGTCTAAGGCAGAGAACCATTTGGTACCTACAACTTCTTAAATATTTATGAAAATAAATAGTTTTTTTCACGTGACCTATGGTGTGAAAACCGTAGTTAACAACTATAAGTTGTTAGCCTGTATTTTTTTAACGCAACATCTTTTAGCTCCCCTTGATTAATCTTAGAATGTTTAACAAACTACTACGTACTATATTAATATTTTGTTAAAGTGTTTTCTACTTGTACTTTAATGTTCACAATATAGATTATGTATAGTATATATGTGTTTTGAACATCTGGAAGTGGGTTAACTGTCATGCAACAGTTTTACATCTGCTTGCTTTGTAATTTTGCCATAGCTACCTGCGTTAACTGATGGGTGTGAATTCAGATCCTTTCATGCATTTTTATTCTGTTGTGCATCTGGTGAAGACATTGAAGCATGACTTGTAATTGGGAAATTCATGCTAACAAATATTAATTGCTCTTTCTTCCAAAAATAAAACAGGATTTATGCACAGTTTAATAAGAATATTTCAAAAATAGAGCCGCCTACATTTATTATATGGAGGGCATGCTGCTAATTATTATTTTTTAATGTTTCCAAATAGGCTGTGCTAATTCCATCCCATAGCATGAGATTATTTTTATATGATTTCTGGTATATCTCAAAAGATAAAGGTAGTTTTGTATTGTACTGTTTCCAGTCACCAATAATATTCTGGGGGAAAAAAAGAAAAACAAAGAAAAGAAAAAGTGTTTAGAAGAACCATTTAGCTGACATTATATGGCAATCAATTTGCTTTTGAAAGCAGAGCCTAGACAATTAAACTATTTGTATATGTTTTGCATTTCTTTGTTAAAAAAGAGAAAAGATACGAAAAATAAACAGAATATATAAGGTAAAAAAATACCCTTTTTTTTAAATTCAAGGGGATGAAGTTCTAGAATGGAATGGTAAACCCCTGCCGGGAGCTACAAATGAAGAAGTTTACAACATTATTTTAGAATCAAAATCAGAACCTCAAGTTGAAATTATTGTTTCAAGGCCTATTGGGTAAGGCTAAAAAAACTTACTTCTTAAGTTTAGTAAATTACATGTATTAGTAGGGTTTTAAAAAGAATTTTATACATTCATACAGTACATGTTAACATGGATAGTTTTTTCATCAATTATGGGCATACATTTTTAGATCATTAAAAATTTCTTAATTTTTTAACTGGAATACTGAGTTTACTTCACTACATTTTAGAAGCTCCACACTTTAATAATTGTAATATCAAAAAATATCAATATGTACTTTTTGCAAGAGAAATATAAAGTAAAATTTTCTTTTAATGGCAGATATATTTAAGTAATTCTAATTTAATAAGTAGTATTTCCTTTAAGAGAGACATTAACAAACTCCTTGTGTTATTTAAAATATTAATGATTTCATATGTCTACATGAACTTTTTATTATTCTACTAAAGAATAGAACATTTTTTTCTGTCTCTTTACCCGTAATTTCAACTTTTATTTAAAATCAAGCGAGAAGTATTAAATATTTTAACATTTTAATTGGTCGTAATGATATTTTTAAAACCTCAATTTTCTGTACAATTTAATTATCTATAGCCAGTGGGACATTTTCTATGTATGTATATAGATTTCCCCATATCATTACCTTTTTTTGGCAAACCTACATGGTCCAAAATAAATATTCATTTTGCCAGTCTGTAATTTTTAAGACATTTTGAACTGTTTTATTATACTTGGCTTAATGTTTAAATGTATTCTTGGAAATGATTCTTTTTTTCCCTATTCTCCAAAATATAATACAGCCATTACTTCAAGGCTTTTTATGTTGAAAAAGTGCTAACCTTTAATTTGTATTGGCCTCTTGAATATATGTCAATGCAAAACATACAAGAAAATATAATTATCATAATTCTCAAAGAATGAAAATGTATGATCATATATCAAATAATATTAATATATAAAACTCTAAAATAAAGGCAAGCTTTTAACCAATTTTAACTGGTGATTATTAAGAGTGAACACTGAAGACATTTGCAAAAGTGTTGTACATTTCCATGTAGACTTTTAAAATAATACTACGATTTATGCTAGTTTTACATGACGTATGTTCTAGTGCTGAGGTAAATATAAGGCTGGAAAAGAGGTAAGTAAATTGGAAAATGAATCAAAAGTATGAAAGCTAAAGTTTAGAATCAAGCATTGTGCACTTGCCAAATACTTTCAAATATATAGTGGTTTAAAAGTCAACAACTAAAACAGAACTGATTCATGGTGACTTAAAAAAGTAACAGACAATTAAAGTAGACTGGAGTAACATTATTTTTACTTTTTATGAAAATTAATTAAGAAGTAATCATCTACACAGCCAAATTCTAAACACATTATAGATTATAGAATTGAAAGGAACATAGAATACAAAAATTATAATTTATAGATTATAGAAGTCAAAGGATGTGGAATGCAAAGATTATAATTGAATCAGAATCAAAGGTGATACCAACTTTCTAATAAATACATTATTAGAATCCTAGAAAAATAATTTTAGCTACTTCTTTTTTTTTTTTTAAGACATGGTCTTGCTGTGTTACCCAGGCTAGAGAGCTGTGTTTTAATAGTAATATTTAATGTAGTTCTGTTTAGCAACTATAATTAAAGGAAAAAGAAAATATTCATAATTTAGTGGCATAGTGATTTCAGGAATCATTCTAAATATAACTTGCAATCACATTGATCAGTACACACTAAGAGGCATCACCCATCTTGAGGTATTGACTTTTTTTGTGAACCCACCAAATACATTATCTTTGACCTTTATGCTTTTAATTGTTCCCTAACTGGTAAGTAGAACTAATAAAGAATTCCACTGGATATGTAAACATCCAGTGGAAATTTATGCCTGAAAATATTACTGAAGCAATTAACATGAATAAATTTTAACTAAAAGTCACTTTGACATATTTTCAACAACTTCGCCACCATTCTTTTTTCACAAGACGCGTAAATTCCAAAGTTTGTACCTGGCTTTAGAGTTTCAAATTCTGATTCCATAATGGACTATGAAGCTGATTTTTTAAGAAGTTATACTATCTAAAAATTGATTGTTCCTCGATTTTTTTTACAATTTACTTTTATTTGCTTACATTAATTTAGAAGAAAGTAGCAGAATATAGTTTTTTGTGTGTTTTAGGTATTATAAATTAGTCTCTTAATTATAAATTCATTCAAATGATTTTATATAAATGTATAGTCATACAAAAATATATAATAAAATATATAAAATACACAACTTAGGCCGAATTGTCATTTTTAAGAAGTATAAATTATAGTTGGTTATGAGAATTACTTTGCACAAAATAGTCAAAATGACAACTCCAGAGAACAATCAAACAGGGAAAACTCTTTTTGTTTTCATTCCCCCAAAAAGTGAAAAAAAAAAGTGAAGTTAGGTCATAAGGTAAGTGGTTAGAAATTCTTAAAAAATATGCCGATAATGTTGTTGAGACTAGCTAACTCCAGTCTGCTTTAAATGTCATGTTAATACTTGCATATTGTTAATCTTCTTAAATTGATATTAAAACATCTTTGAAAAATGAGAAGTAATAGAGTCCTATGCAGTATAATACCTAAGCCAAGGTGATCTAGGGTTCTTAAGGGCACAGTGGGTAATGGATTAAGTTGAGACTATAGTACATATATTTCTTCAGAGTAATTTATCAGTGTGGCAGGAATGGGTGGTCTCACAAGTCACTTTCTAACCATATAGTAAATAGCCATATATTTAGCTAACTTCAGTATAGAGATATGGATCTCTATAAAGGGTATATATGTGTATATGTATTATATATTCACATATATAAAATAATTTGGCTTTTTTGTTGCAAGCTTGAACCATTTTTACTTTCCAAAGCAACTCATCCTTTTCATTTAACTTTGCCCATGATATTCACCATATCATTTTTTTATTGAGATGTTCCCATCCCTTTCACTCAGTAAACTCTTTCAGATGTGTTTGTAAAGCATATTACTGATTTGTAAAATTTGTGTCATTTTGATTTCCTAGAATTGAAGGAAAGTGTTACCTTTAACATTTTTTATTTCCAAACCTGCTGTTTTGGTAGTAAAAATATTGTGGTGATTTTAACCACAATATTAGTCTGATTGTTGTCATGTTAAAGTATTTTGCTCTTAAATATATAAAAACTTTTTTATTGCAGTTTTTTTTTGTGTGGTGTTTGACATTCATGCACATTAGTAGTTGCGTTAATAGTAACTCCTATTCATTTCCACACCTGTAAAGACCCAGCAGGATTTTTCACATCACATAAAATGGGCTGTGATTGCCTCAGGCAGGGTCATTTAGCTAATGTGATTTTCACCATATCCTGTTTCTTTTAGTGACATTCCCCGGATTCCTGAGAGCTCCCACCCTCCGCTGGAGTCCAGTGAGTATAAGATTTCTTTGTTATTATAAAAGTATTGAACTAATTGAAAGTAAAGATTTCTAATTTTCTTTAGTTATTTGATATAATGAATTGGGATTCCTATACTAAAGATGTCTCCATTGGTACTAGATGTTGGCAATGATGCCAGTAACTGGAAATCCAAAGAAGTTCTACTTTAAGATTTTTCTTCCTCTACTTTTTTATGTGGTTTAAAGAAAAAAAAAATCTTTACTGGGAATACTCTTCGGCATCATAACAGTCAGGACCCTCACAGAGCTTAATATATCAGGAATAGTTCTATTTACATAAACATTTATTGTGATACTGGATTATTCAGTTTGATTGCTAAGCAGCTCAGTCTCAAGAGCAGCCTAGTGAAGAAACTAGGTAGGCACTTTAACAAATAATTGTATTACCAAATAACTGTCTTGCTCGTCCGTGTGAAGAGACCACCAAAGAGGCTTTGTGTGAGCAATAAAGCTTTTTAATCACCTGGGTACAGGCAGGCTGAGTCCGAAAAGACAGTCAGCGAAGGGAGATAAGGGTGAGGCCGTTTTATAGGATTTGGGTAGGTAAAGAAAAATTACAGTCAAAAGGGAGTTGTTCTCTGGCGGACAGGAGTGGGAGTCACAAGGTGCTCAGTGGGGGAGCTTTTTGAGTCAGGATGAGCCAGGAAAAGGAATTTCACAAGGTAATGTCATCAATTAAGGCAAGGACCTACCATTTTCACTTCTTTTTTTTTTTTTTTTTTTTTGAGATGGAGTCTCGCTCAGTCACCCAGGCTGGAGTGCAGTGGCGCGATCTCGGCTCACTGCAAGCTCCACCTCCCGGGTTCACGCCATTCTCCTGCCTCAGCCTCCCGAGTAGCTGGGACTACAGGCGCCAGCCACCACGCCCGGCTAATTTTTTGCATTTTTAGTGGAGGCGGGGTTTCACCGTGTTAGCCGGGATGGTCTCAATCTCCTGACCTCGTGATCCGCCCGCCTCGGCCTCCCAAAGTGCTGGGATTACAGGCGTGAGCCACGGCGCCTGGCCCATTTTCACTTCTTTTGTGGTGGAATGTCACCAGTTAGGGCAGGGGCAGGGCATTTTCACTTCTTTTGTGATTCTTCAGTTACTTCCGGCCATCTGGGTGTATATACATGCAAGTCACAGGGGATGCCATGGCTCGGCTTGGGCCCAGAGGCCTGACAATAACAAAGTGTGTGGATTGTTTTTAGAAATGAATGGGTAGAGTAAACTTCACTAAACATAATGGGTCAAGGGATTGTGAAACCAGAGGGTTGAAAGAGTTATTTATATGGGAATTAAAGTCATTTCTGTATGAGAGAAGATGATATTGTGTGCAATAAATTATAGACAATTAAGTTTTCAGTGATAATGCAGAAGTGACCCAAATATTTTCTTTGCAATGGATGGGAATTAAGTTAATACTTGGACTTGATTCCCGAGATGTTCTTACAGAACCCAGGTTATAGAAGTAGAGAATAAAAGGTGATTTAGGGGAAGACCAGTGATAGTGATTAGAAGGGAGAAGAAAATATGAAAGTAGGATAAACAAGGAAACAGACACTAAGCTAGGTTATCATCTAAAATGCATACCATCATGTTCTGCTAGAGGTGTACCCAGTTTTGGCTTTGAGCTTTCTGGTGATCAATACAAAGAAGAAGTGGGACTAATTGCATAATTTATATTATTGATATGATTAAAAAATACACTGATTGCCATAATATTACAAACAAGCATTATTAGAAATAACAACGTTCCTGTTGTGAGACTCAAGGAAATGTATTTTAAATATACCTGGGAAAATACACACAGTAACAATTTTATAGAGCTGTTTTTTATCACTAACAGTTTTTGGAGGGCACAAAATATGACATGAGAATTAATTTGTAGTTATAGAAAAAATATGTGGATTGCACATACTCAGGCAATGCTTCATAAACAGTATTTCTCAATGAAGCATTGGCTAAGTTTGAATGGTGGTGAGTTCAAGGTTATACTTTCTGGATCAATAGCCTTCTATAAACACTCTATATTGCTCTGTGTGTCAGGGTATACTTGAACAGTGAAGAACTCCACCAAGTGGCCAAGAGGAGACCCAGCCTCCTTCGTGTGAAGTTGAAGCAAATCACTAGTCGTGAATTACTTGAAGTAGCATTTTCAGAGGTTCAAGATACTCATTTATAAGATCAAAACTAAGATAGATGGTGTATCTGATTTTAAAACAATGACAAAATCTGGTTTAGATGTGGTTCATAAATTATATTATATATGCATTCGTTTTAATTTCTCAGTAAGAACTTTAGGCAAGATAATTAGTGTCAACAGGCACTATCTTCCTTATCGCTGAAGCAGACCTTTACCCATATGTGAAGTCATACAAGAGTCTGTGTAATACCATGCACTCCAGAAATGTAGATCAATTATTTCCAATTGAAATAAGCACAACACTTCATTATATCATTCTTAATATTTCTTAAATAGACAATTAACTGAAGACAAAATCTACCCCGTTAAAAGTAGGTTCTGTTATCAGTGGTAGTAATTATGGGTTTATGCAAATAAGGATGCATTTAACATTTTATTAAAAATATTTTCTACACTTACAAATATTACCTTTTTTTCTTATTTTAGGTTCAAGTTCCTTTGAATCTCAGAAGATGGAAAGGCCTTCCATTTCTGTTATTTCTCCAACAAGTCCTGGAGCTCTAAAAGATGCCCCACAAGTCTTACCAGGGCAACTTTCTGTATGTATTTTTTGTACATGTTGGAGACTGTTAGTATTTGCATATACTGTCTGAGTCTGTCTTTAAATATGTTCCCTTTTCCTTGAAGCCTGCAATACATAGTTATTTAACACCATAATCTACTTCATTAGTTTTTCATGCATTTTTAAATTATTCCTTTATTCACATATTTATTCAGAAATACTTACTGAGTGCTTGCAATGTGCCAGATACTGTGAACATTAATTGATGAATGGTAACATAAGTAAATATTCATATTTTTGGTGTAAAAGTTTCTAAGGTAAATAATTGTTTACACATAATATTAGGAATTCATGCCCCATTTATGTAACAACCTTATGAGCCTAGAGCCTGAAGAGCCTAAATTTGGAATATTCTTTTTAACTTCCTAAGGCATTTGGCAAAACTCTTCGTTGCCACTGAAAGCTCTCTGAAAAAGCTACCATTTTCTCACTATTGCCTTATTATGTGATCTGGAGAAACCTGGAGTGAAGAAACTAGGGTTAAGTATAATGAAGAGCCATATATTTGTAGATTATGATGGAAAATGTTATGTTGATATTATAATTTAAGGACTTCGGACTATTTGTTTCAAGTTGTTATACAGAAAATGACCTTTTGCTCCTCTGATAATGTGTGGATTTCTGTGGTCTGCCTTTGTGGTTTTCTCTTGGTTTTAATGAGACAGAGAAGATATATACAAGCTTATTTCTCTAGGGCTTTTATGGTTTTAACTTTTATTTTTAGTATATTGAATATCTTTGTAATACCCTTTGGGTTTATCTGCCCTGCCATCTTTTTCTTCAGTGTATGTGTAAATCTCTCATATTCTCCACATATTTTAAAAGAGGATGGAAACCTATTCTGGTTCTGTGAAAACCACATCTTAGGTATAAAGTGGGAATCAGACAGATCCAGGTTTGAATTCTTAATCTGTTCCTTACCATGAAAAGCTAATCCTATGTTAAATTAGTTTATTTTGTTATGATGACTCTCAGATATGTTCTAACATATACCCATTAACAGCATATGCTTACTCAAACATAGAATGAGAAGTAACTTCTAAATTAAAGGAAAAAAATTAAAGGTGATGACATTGTTAAAGTGTCATTACCACTGCCAGGGCAGATACTGTAATGACTGATAAAATCCAATTCTTATGAGTTTGACAGGATTTTAGTATGTTACTTCCCCAGTATTCTTTGGTCTACTGTCATGAAATCTTGGTTAATAGAAATATCATTTGGCCTTCTTGTAGTTTGAAGATATCGTTTGTGTATTGTATCCTTTGTTTTTTCCTCCTTCTCTCATGAAAAATAATGTGTAATAGGTTAATTCTAAAAATTAAATGAGGGCTTGGTGCAGTGGCTCAGGCCTTTAATCCCAGCACTTTGAGAGGCTGAAGAGTTCAAGACCAGCCTGGGTAACATAGCAAGATCCCCAATTCTATAAAACATTTTAAAAAATGGCCAGACATGATGGTGCACACCTGTAGTTCCAGCTACTTGGGAGGCTGAACTGGGAGGATTGCTGGTTCCAGGAGTTTGAAGCTGTGTAGTGAGCTATGATCATGCCACTGCATTCCAGCCTGTGACAGAGTGAGACCATGTCTCCAAAAAGTAAAAAAAAATGTGAGAAAAAATACCAGGAAATACTTAGCAGTGCCTGTATAAAATAGGCCCACAGTAAATATGTTTTATGATCTCTTCTAATTCTTTGTATGTCTTATTCCTAATATCCAAACTCTTTTTTTTAATTTTAACTACCTGTGACACCAGAAAAAGCATTTAGTCACGCTATAATCATTTAGACACATATAATCCTCAAACTCTTATTTTTAACATTTAAGAACAATAGTAATGATTTTATATCTCCCTCTTCCCTTAGTTTTTTGGAAAAATTATTATTAGTTTTATTTTATAAAATGATATGTGAGAATGTACAGTAACACTGAAGGCCTGCCCGTTGTAAGTTATATTTAAAGTACTCAAAGAGCAAAGTAAAGTTCTGTGTGTTTATGCTTTCAAATTGGTATGTTTTTAGTAATATCTGTTTTGCATTATATTGTAATTCAAAATTTCCTCCTTTAAATATAACTTTAATTTTGTTTTACGTAAAATTGTAATGCCTCATGATTTTTACAAATAATTCCTTTCCTCATTGCTTCTAGGTGAAACTGTGGTATGATAAAGTGGGACACCAGCTGATTGTAAATGTTCTGCAAGCAACAGATCTACCTGCTAGAGTAGATGGGCGTCCTCGAAATCCCTATGTAAAAATGTATTTTCTTCCAGATAGAAGGTAGTGAATAATTTTAGAAAAAAAGAAAAATCCTAAAATCTATACTAATAGAAAAGGTAGAATTTTCTCTTTTGGGATATTTTTAAAAAACATAATAGATAATTCTTTCTGAGGAGATAAAAGTACATTATCTCTGAAAAAGGAAGTCCCTCAAGCCTTGTGTTGGAAATATTTGAAAATAATCTGCCAATTAAAAAAGAAATCTATTACCTTGTTTATAGACATATTAGTCTTTGATAGCGACACATCATTTAGAATGTACCTTTGTATGTGTCCCTATAATTACAACTACTGCTTATATTCTAATTGAAGTTAGATTATTAAACTCTAGTATCTTTTTATAGACTTTCAATGAGTTATAAGTTAAAATAATATAAATATCAATGGCACTTTTACATGTGACTACAGTAGATGGCAGCATATACTTGCTTTTTCATTTACAAAACATACTTATTTTTCAGTGATAAAAGTAAAAGGAGGACCAAAACAGTAAAGAAAATACTAGAACCAAAATGGAATCAAACTTTTGTCTATTCACATGTACATCGTAGAGATTTTAGAGAACGAATGTTAGAAATAACTGTGTGGGACCAACCCAGAGTGCAAGAAGAAGAAAGTGAATTTCTTGGAGAGGTGATGTATATTTTAAAAACTCAAGTCAAATAGTTAATAAAGTTTTGTGATATTTATTACGATTGCTATTACATTATGTTTTGATAAAAGTACTTGATTTAATTTGAGAATTACCCTCTCAGATCCTCATAGAATTGGAGACAGCGCTTTTAGACGATGAACCGCATTGGTATAAACTTCAGACACATGATGAGTCTTCACTACCTCTGCCTCAGCCATCACCTTTCATGCCAAGGCGACATATTCATGGAGAAAGCTCTAGCAAAAAGCTACAAAGTAGGTTAAGGTTGTTTTAGTTGCCACAAAGTAATTATGCTGTAATGATCTAATTAGTGATTAATAATTCAAGATGTTTTTGTTTTTCAAATGTTTTATTAGAGATCAAAATATTGGAAAATTGTTCATTTTTATGAAGAATCTTGGCAAAACTGTTTCTACATTTTCACAATGAAAATAATATAGCATAGCAGAGTAATTCCAGAGCTGAAAGCCAAAAACCTCTGAATTAAAATCCTTGCACAGGGCCAATTGAGCTGTTGATTATTGACTGATGGAATAATTTCTATCATCATTGGTGGGTTGCTACATGTGAGGTCTTAATAACTTTATAGTTCATAGTTTTTTTTTGTTTTTTTTTTCCCCCCGAGAGAGTGTCACTCTGTTACCCAGGCTGGAGTGTGTTGGCATGATCTTGGCTCATTGCAGCCTCCACCTCCCAGGTTTAAGCAATTCTCCTGCCTCAGCCACCAGAGTAGCTAGGATTACAGACACGCGCCAACACGCCCGTCTAATTTATTTTTGTGTATTTAGTAGAGACGGGGTTTCACCATGTTGGCCAAGCCTGGTCTTGAACTCCTGACCTCATGATCCACCCCACTCGGCCTCCCAAAGTGCTGGGATTACAGGCGAGAGCCACCATGCCCAGCCAGTTCATAAATATTTTAATAGTTATTCATAAGAAATATTGTTTAAAATATTAGAAGGTTATGTTTATTACGATTCATCTAGTGATTGGGAAAAGCTACTTTTTTCTGTACTTATCGAGTAATTTTGGAGTCATAGCTACATTTCTAAGTTAACAACTGAAAGACGCCTCATTTTGGTAATCTGGAACTAAATTATTTTTCTCACATAATTAAATATTTCATGTTGATGTTTCCCTGATCAGTAATTTCCTCAAAGTCAATGTTTAGTGAAGTATAGTGACTAACTTGGGGAGCTAAACATAAATATTTTATAAGGGGCCCTGATATTTTTTCATAAAACAGGCTGAATAGAGCTTCAGCCAAGAAATGTCTCTGAACCTTTCCACTCAGCCCTATCCTCTCTGAACTGCAGAGGAAAGCACTTAATTGTGTAGAAAACAATGTACTGTGTATACTGTGCTACAGGCTTTTAGTATAATATTTTAATTAAAGAATTAATCCGAAAATCTTACTTGGTAAAGTCCCCTTGTTTCTATATGTCTTTGGTGTAATAAGGAGAAAATACTGATAAAATGTTATCCTTAGAGAACAAACATTTCTTTTAAAATTAGCTCAGTGTGTACTGTATTAGTCTTCGTAAGTTTTCAGTAGTAATGTAATTTACTTTTTAAAAAAAGTTTAACAATGTCCTTTACATTTCATAAACCAACCAGACACAGAGGTATCTGTTTGCCTTACTGTTGTGCAGGATCTCAGCGAATCAGTGATAGTGACATCTCAGATTATGAGGTTGATGATGGTATTGGCGTAGTTCCTCCAGGTGCGTGAGTGAAGAGCATGGCCCTGCTTCACTGTGCTGCTTTGCTTGTTTTCTCTGTCAGCTTCCAGACCTCTTTAGGATACTAAACTGAAGATTTATATCACAGAGAAATCAGTATTATATTATTCCATGGTGACTTACATTTCAAATTATTATTTTTATTTTATTTTATTTTATTTTTAGACGGAGTCTCACTCTGTCACCCAGACTGGAGTGCAATGGCCTGATTTCGGTTCATTACAAGCTCTGCCTCCCGGGTTCATGCCATTCTCCTGCCTCAGCCTCCCTTGTAGCTGGGACTACAGGCGCCCGCCACCACACCCATCTAATTTTTTGTATTTTTAGTAGAGACGGGGTTTCACCGTGTTGGCCAGGATAGTCTCGATCTCCAGACCTCATGATCCGCCCGCTTTGGCCTCCCAAAGTGCTGGGATTACAGGCGTGAGCCACCGTGCCTGGCCACATTTCAAATTATTAAGAAAGTTTTAAATGTACTAGTCTCTGCTAATTAGCATTCCCACTTATTTTAGTGAGGTTCTTCCATGGAAACATGGCTAACTAGGTGAAACAAATCATTATTTCACAATGCTCTGAGCATAAGTGAAAATATGAATTTTATCTTGAAAAGATGGGGTTATTAAAAATTCCGTTGTTCTATGTTTTATATTGCATTTCTATGATTTTCCTTCCACCATTTCTGAAAATAATGTAGCCTTCCATGGAATATACTGAGGAAAGTGCATGGCCAGGTTTAACATTGCATGTGTGGCCTGGCTATAATTTTTAAAGCTTTTGTGATGTGTTCCCCACTGATTATAGCTAGAATGTGTGTATATGTTTTAAAATAGTAATATGTTTAAGAAAGATGAAGTACTCATTTGAAGTGAACATCTTTTTGTCATTGCGTAAGTTAGTAAGACTTCTGTGATGTTCTACGTTTTAAATGTTTCTCATCTGACTTTTGTCAGAGAAGTGTGTAAAATCAAGTGATAAAGACTTTCCTGGCACTAATTCTATACTTTTTAAAAATTTACTAATGAGAGGAGAAGTAAATATTCACATAAGAAGAAATGAAAGAGACAGTCTTAAAATGTATAAATATGAATTTTAAAGGCAGTTTTTAAAGACAATATTGAAATGTATGCCCTTCATTTATGTAATTTCTCAGATGGTAGTGTACTTAATTTGAGGGCAATGGTTTTGCTCAAGTTGATAAATTCTACCATACTAACTTCACAGTTTGGAGAGATGCATACAACTTTACTAAAACTGGGAGAAAATTATGGAGAGTTCTCTAAAATCAAGTTGCATTTGTTCCCTATAATTCAGAGAAAATATAGTATGTATGTAGGTATGTATGTATTTAAGACAGAGTCTCACTCTGTCGCTAGGCTGGAGTGTAGTGGCACGATCTTGGCTCACTGAGACCTCCATCTCCCAGGTTCAGGTGATACTCCTGCCTCAGCCTCCGCAGTAGCTGGGACTACAGGCGTGCACCACCATGTACAGCTAATTTTTATATTTTTAGTAGAGACTGGATTTCACCATGTTGGCCAGGATGGTCTCGATCTCTTGACCTTGTGATCTGCCCACCTTGGCCTCCCAAAGTGCTGGGATTACAGGTGTGAGCCACCATGCGCAGCCAAAAATGTAGTATTTAATCACTGTGTGAAAGTAGAAAATAGTGTTAAAATAATAAATCTAGTGCTGTGAAAATCTACATACTTATATATTAATTTTTAATGTCAGTGTATTGGTGAGAGATTTAGATCATACTGGAGAGCATTTCATTTTTGCTTTCTGTTTTTATTTCTTAGAAGGCCATAATAATTACACACATTCTCAACAAAAAAGTTCACACAAAATGTAACATCATATTAGTTTGTCATTAAATTGAAAGAGTAAAGTGATTATACATTTAAATTAATTTGGGATATTCAAATAGGAATTAGATTATTCCTGGTGGAAAAATCATCACCTCTAACAAGAATCTTTACCATTAATCAACCTTAATGTTGTCATTACCAGTTTATCTAAATAGAATTTACTTCGGTGAGTGGTTCCCAATTTTTGTTCACCTGAAATTTCATATTTTTTGTTATGAGACAGGACAGTGAATGAAATAAATGGCCAATTAAATAAATGCTTACACAAATGATGAGTTTCTTCCTCTTTCTCTGAGAGAGCAACATGGATAACATCTTGTGAGAAGTCAAAGTGAGTTATGGAATCCACCAGAGATGGGATTAGTGCTTAAGTATCAACAAGGAGCACTGAATTCTAAATATACCTATATTCCATACTGAAATATACCATGTCCCTCAGAGTGTTTGCAAACATGTATAATCTCTGTTATACAGAAGCAGTATTTTTCAAATAATATTGTTCATTTTTATTTAGCATTTTAAAATGTAATGAGTCAAACTTTAATAGAATGTGACTAGTAACTTATAAAACCAATAAGTAATATTTTATGTTTCAAAAATCTCCTCATAAATTAAAGGAGATCATGTAATTCATTAATATTTTCAGATACACTCTTCATTGATCGATTGTGATTATGTGGTAGTATCTGTATGGCAAATATCATTAGTCACATAGTAATATACAATACATTTTAAGTGAAGAGGAAAGATGAGTCAGTAAAATAAGGACAAGAAGCTAAAATAAAGTGAGGTGATAAGTTAGCACAGTGCATTCCTATGTACATTTAAATGTTGGTTCCAAATTTGCTTCTATATTTCTAGCATCCAATATGAAGAAAAAATTTGTTTAGATATAGAAGTCATCTTCTGTATATGTTTAATGTACTCAAGGAAGTTCCTGGTTGTATATTATCTAGAGAAGCTCAAAAGCTCTATACAAAATGTTCTACTACAGCCAAAACTTAAACTTCCTAATGCCTTGGCTTTTCTAGAACACAAAATTCTCTGTTTTTGTTTCATGTGCTTACTATCTTTTTCCAGTTAGGGAAATACAGCAGGTTTTCAGCAGTTGAGACTGCCAGAGCCACATTTTATTAACTTTGTAGTTATAGCCTTATTGTTATTTAAAGTAAAAAATTTTAGCTGATTAAGAAGAATAAAAATGACCATATACAGAATGCCCTCATCTGAGGTGAGGAATCTAGCAACTTCAACCAGAAAATGAGAAAAAAGAATCTCTAATATCTAACTCTGAGTCAACTAAAACATTGGGATTACCACAAAATAGTTTCATCCTAGCCGGGCACGGTGGCTCATGCCTGTAATCCCAGCACTTTGGGAGGCCAAGGTGTGCAGATCACAAGATCAGGAGTTCCAGACCAGCCTGGCCAATATGGTGAAATCCCATCTCTACTAAAAATACAAAAATTAGCTGGGCCTAGTGGCGCACACCTATAATCCCATCTATTTGGGAGGCTGAGGCAGGAGCATCACTTGAACACGGGAGGCAGAGATTGCAGTGAGCCAAGATCATCCAGCCTGGGCAGACAGCGAGATTCCGACTGGGAGAAAAAAAAAAAAAAGTTTGATACCAGTCATGGTTCTGAAGATAGAGTGCATGTTGTTAACAATAAATTAAACATCATGTGAAGAAAATAAAATTTTTTGTAAAAAGCAACTATAAATTTAAAAAGCAAAGAACTTTTTCTTTGTAAATTGCAAAGAACTATAAATGCATATTTATTTGAGATCATTTACTATAGAGTCAACTGTTAAAACTTTGAATATTATAGCATATGTTATATTCAAAATGACTTTGAGTCACCAAAATAGTACACATTGCCTTCAGTGTACTTTCTCTTTATGAATTCAGAACTTTCTAAGTTACATTGAAAGTTGTTAATATATTAAAAGTTTTAAGATTTCACTTGTTTCCTTAAAGTCCCTTCTTAATAGGACAAAAGAGACATTAATTTCTATATAAACACAAACAATCCAAGAAACAAATTAATTATATATCTTTAACAGCAAGATGCCAAAATTCTCTAAAATTTATTCTGTAATAATTAATTTTACAAAATCTATTTATATACCTTGAATATGCGCTTAAATCTCGAAATAGGGCTCATAAGTCAATATTGGCCTTCCATAAAATTATTGTATAATTGATACCAAATGGTAACTAAAAATGTTTAAGTAATTCAGACTATGGATTAATTGTCTTTAAAAAACAGTCACTTTTTTTTTTTTTTTTTTTTACAATGAGCTATGTATTAATAGTGTATGCACTACATGTTAACTTAGTGGGTCTCTTTCTAGCCTTAATATTATAATTTCTAGTCTTAAAATTACAATATAATATTACATCTGAATAACAGACTTTTTACACAAAACTCAATAGCTTAGTTGGTATTTCGATAAGATAAAAAATTAAAGTATTTGAAATTATAAATTATACCATTTATGATAATTAAACATATGTTTTTACAGAGTGACAAAATGGTTGTATTTATTTGGTCTGAATATTGTCAAAGTAAGTGTAATGAAATGTTTGAAGTCCCTTAAAATTAGGCATAAGATCATGGATTCACAGTATATAAACTGCTAGGGACTATTAGCCTGCCTTTACTCATGATGTTTCATAACATATTTTTGAGATAATGTGAGAGTTACCAAGTAAAAAATGAGCAACAGTTTTAGCTTCCCAGTTAAATTTAATGTATTTATGGTTTATGTATGTTTTATGTAGTTGTAAATATAGTTTTTTGTTTTTACTTTGGCCACATAATTTTTTAATTTTCCTTATGATAATAAAAGACAGTGACCCTTGTGAAAAAATTTTAAACTCTAAACTCTTATTTTGGTTTTGAGATTACTGTTTTATCTTAACCATATCAGAGACAATATAAACCTTAACTTCAGGGGAAAAGTAGCTGTTATAATTAATTTCAAATTGCAATATGTTAACTATATTATCTTAATTATGCTAATTAAAATAATTATGGAGTAGTTTCAGATGTGTAAGGCAGATTTGGCAATTGGTTCTTTAGAAGGGTTCATTTTCTCTACATTATTGTGATCGTCATCTTCAGTCATATACTACATTTGAAAATTGCAGTATTATTTGTGGTTTCACAATCAGTATAATGGTATACTTAATCAGTATAATGGTGAAGATCTCCTACTCTTCTTTGTTAATTAAAACTGAAATAATATATTCGTTTTCTTATTAAAGAGGCCATTTGCAATCCAACTAAAGTAATTTATCCTCTACAATAAAAATTGAAATGAATAATTTATTTAAATTTATTTAAATTTATTAAATATATTTCTAAGCATTGACTTGTATATTAACTATAGTTTCCTGTCAAGCACTTCATTTGTGTTACTAAGTCACGAACTCATTCATTATTTACATTGAAACAGTATCCCAACTCATCATAATGTCTGAGGCATCAACTGTCATATTCGTATTAGTATCTCCATGGTACCTTTGAGCCAACTGTAACCTGTTTCAGTGCATGTATATGTTACACTCTATGTAGGTATACTTAACTGATTGCATGACATGTATTCTTCATAGATCAATGGCTGCTTTAGTGTAATTTTATATTTCTGTGTTAATGTTTGCATTACAGAAGAATACTGACTAAATGTTTTCTGTGTGTACTCTTGCCAGTAGGCTATAGGTCTAGTGCTAGAGAAAGTAAATCTACAACATTAACTGTGCCAGAACAGCAAAGAACAACTCATCACCGCTCACGTTCAGTATCTCCTCATCGCGGCAATGATCAGGGAAAGCCGCGTTCACGTTTACCAAATGTGCCATTACAGAGGTAGGCTTTGAAATGGGCTCAGTGTCCCTGACAGTACATTTTTATTATAATGCAGTGAAAATTGCTGCAAAACTAACTGAAATGAAAAAATAGTTTGGTCAAATTGTTTTTTTCAGAATTAACTGTAGGCAAAATGCTTTTTTATTCTTTGTCCAACCTATATGGCAGTCTATTTTAATCTGAATAAATTTCCCAGGGAGTAGAAATCGTTTGTGTCCTAGGAATAGTTTTTGAATAATTGGCTTGTATTCTGTTTGCTAGTTTTCTTTCTTGTTAGAAAAAAATTGTAGCAAATCAGAATTGTGGAGAGAAGTGGCAAAGAGGATAAGGTTAAGAGACAGAATGGACTTTGAAGAGTTTTAGGATTGTCTCTTTGAAGCACTTTAAATGATTGGAAATATAAATAAAACATATAATATACTGCTCTACTTCATTTTACTCTGATACACACTCCTGAAATTGTAATTAATTATGCCGATGAAAATTGTTTTTTGGTAGAAGTGTGAAAGAAGGTTGGAGAAATGCAGCCACAGGCAAAAACTCGTAGAAAATAAATACTCTTAACTCATTGATAAAATAGGTTTTGATTATGACGCAAATACTTTTCAGTGTTTATTTGCATATCACCGTCAGTTCCTTCACTTTAGTCTGTCTGCCTGTTTTGGGAAGATGAAACAATTTGACACATAGAATTTTGTAATCATTTTAGGAGTTTAGATGAAATTCATCCAACAAGAAGGTCACGTTCTCCAACCAGACACCATGATGCCTCCCGAAGTCCAGTTGATCATAGAGCCAGAGACGTGGATAGTCAGTATTTATCAGAACAAGACAGGTATTTGTCAAAATTATGATCTCAATGTTATGAATTTTTGTTCTGTTTTAATATATGCAGATATTGTGGCATAGCACATTAGAGAGTAAAAGTATCACTCAAAAATGAACTTCTCTCAAGCAACAGCTGTTAAGATATTCTGAAATGCAACTCTAGGAAATATTTGGCTAATATTATATTGTTATAATTATCCAATTTCTTTTACAAAATCAGAATTTATGCTTAGACAGCTTTAAAGGTACAGCTTGTTGACTTAGATGTTGACCTAAATTAAAGAAGGGAGCCTGCATAGGCAGTTTTTAAATACTTTATTTATTGTGGATCACAATATTTGAGGTATTAGTAATCATAAAAATTATGTTATTTATATAATTTAAAACATTGTGGATACATGTCATTTGAAAGTTAATTTCAGAGTTTCTATGAGGACTTCAATAATAATGTTTCTGTTATATACCTCTTTTCATAAAATCTCTTTCTAGAAAATGTCTAGAATACGAAATATTGAGATGAATTCTTACGGGGATATGTACTTAGATTTAATTCTGCATTTGTGAACTAATGTTTCATGGAAACAGTTACTATAAGTCTACATTATGAATCTGTTGCTTTGCATGCCCACAGACTTTCTTCTTGAAGTAACCATATACCTGTACATTTAGCCTGATTATAAGCTCAGGATCTGATTTAAGGTTTTGTAATACCCACCTTGTTGAATATTCTCTTCTGGCTTTTTAAAATGGAGAAACTTTCAGTAGGAGTAGGGTCATGATAGTGGTGCTAAATGATTTTTTCGCCATGGAGTCAAGGACACAGAACCCAAGTAGAACTTCTTAACCTACCTAATTGCCATCCTACTGTAGAAAGTAGGGTTGTGACCTTCAAGAATGGAGTCACAATAGGTACCAGGATGAAGAGCTGCTCTGAGGAATAGGAGTCCAGACATCTCAGCTTGAGTTGAATGAGGGCTGTTTTATCAACATTCATTTGGGGCACCATGAGTTTAGGTGAGGAGGGAAAACACAGGGCTACTTGACCAGGGCAGTCAATATTGTGAAATTAATTTGGATATAGATGAAGTATTAATTTTAAAATAAAAATTCTAATCAATTATATTGTTAGTTGGTTAATAAGAAACATAATATGGTATTGCATTTTTAGTGGCTATAAAAGCCAAGAAAACTACCATGCTTTAATTTGTTACAGAGATATAAAAATGTTCGGAGTTCCCATTGGTATCAGGCCAAATTTATAGTATTAAAAAAATACTCAGTTGTCTATAATTGGAAACAGATTCCTATAATCTTATTTGAGGAATATTTAATTTTGTTTTGTTTTAATATTCTATAAAATCATTTTGAAATACAATGGCAAATCAGCAACAGCTAGGACTTCAATCATAATATTTGTACTTTATCGTTTAAAATTTTTAAATGCTTTCATGTTTATTTTTGTTTAACCTCTCAAGCAAATATGCTAGTGCAGACAATCTGGTTTCTTCCCTTTTCATGTTTTCATTGGCATACCATTGGCATAACCCATGTCTCATAATTTATCTGTTTCACTCACCACCCATCCTGTCTGTGCAGTGAGCTTCTTATGCTGCCCAGAGCAAAACGAGGACGAAGTGCAGAATGCCTACATACTACCAGGTAAATACAGGGATTTGGTAATGGTGATTGTGTGTGATGACTCTCTTTCCATTCTATTATTTTTCCGTCTCTCCCTTAGTGGTATTATTACAAGCAGGTCAAATAAATTTCCCAAGTATTCCAAATTTGTTTTATTTTATATTGAGGTTATGGAAGACATTCCAAATATATTTCAGTTCTGATTCAGGCAGACTACTTTGCCATCTCCACATTCAAAAATCCAGAGACCAGTGGGCCTCTCTGGGACTGTTTTAATTCCTAAAACTGAGGAACCAGTTTCTGCAATTAAAATTCTAAATGCTCACTGTGAGTGCCCCCAACCTTCCCACACATATTCCTGTCTAGTCACAAGAAGTCTAATCTGTGTATGGCAGTATCATTGTTTCATAATTGTGAGTTTGCTCTGTTTTAGTCTTTTTTTATTTCCTTTTAGAATTTATTGTTGTTTATATTCTGTTTGCTTTTGATAAAATCTATAACAGTTCATTTTTAATGGCTGAGCTTCAGCTTCTTTCCTGATGAAAAATGAAGATGTTCAACCTGATCTTAACTATCCTAGCCCACTAGTTGTCAGAAATGCTGTAGTACAAACTTTCCCACAAAGGCATATAACAATATGAATACCTCTTTAGAAGCGACAAAATATATACTTTTTGCTTCTAAATTGGAGCTTAGAGCCTGATGCTTTATGTTAATCTCATTACATCTTTAATTTCATATCCAAAGTAAAACTTCTTACAGATTACTCATGGAGCATATTCTATAAATACTTAATGTATATTTGAAATGAATATAGAAATTAAGGAAGTAGTAAGTCAGTGAAACAAACTTAACACATAATAACCAAACTCAAATATTTTAGCCAATGAAAAGTAAGAGGAAAGAGAAGGAAAGAGATAACCGCAGTACTTGCGATGCAAAGACAAATGCATGATTTATGATGTCTGTGTGTAATATGTAGTTCTGCCCAATAATGCAAACAAAATTGGGCTAATAAAATTTGTTTGAACTTTTTACAGTCTAAAATTATACTACTGATAACTGCTGCCATGTTTGCTTGAAGTGCCACAGGAAAAAATCGAGGAAATTATTAGTTCTATTTGCTGAGAAAAAAATGTAAAATCATGCATATTATAAAAACCTACTGAAAGTCAAAGCATAAACTATCCAGGTTTATTATGACTTGTTCTTCTTAACAAACAATTTCATAATAATAATGGTTTATTTACTAATTCTGAAAGTTTTCTCACAGTCCTGTTGATGTGACTAAAGCTGCAAAAGAAAAAAAAAAACACGCACACAAAACAAACACAAAAAAAATCATTACATTTTAAGCTACCTAGTATGTGCCTGGCACTCAGTGTATGAATATTTCTAGTATACTCACACCAGTAGTCTAAATATAATAACTAAAGGTATTTTTTCTTTCCCTTATTTTGTACTTGTAAAATATTATATACTTATATAATATTATATAATAGCTGCATCATTTTATACAATCTTATCCTTAAGATTGGTGCTTTGCTAATAATTCTGAGCTCTGCAAGTCCTATTTAATAGACCCTGTATGTTGACTTTGCATTTCCTGATTTAAGCAAATAATCATATTTGTATGTATACAACTTAAAAACAGATGAGTATTCAGTGAGGCAGATCACGTTCTGTAGACAGGTACTACAACAAGATAGGAAGCGGAAGCTGAGCTAGCCAAATGTGTCAGAGCAAAACGTATGTCACCAGTGGCTTTTCTCCTTCCTGTCTTTCATTCTGTAATGTGTAATGCTAAAAGTATGGAGATAGAGACAATATGAGTTCAAAAATATGTGCGTGTATGTATATATAATCTCTTCTATGTTTATATTCATGTATTTATAAAAACATTTATATCTGAATAAAAACGAATGTCAAAATGTGTAAATATATATAACCACAGCTTTATATGGATATATCAATAATATAATTTGGTTTCGTATAAACTATGGACATTTATTATTTATATAACTATCCATGGCTAAAATCTAAAGCTTTCAAAATACGTCATACCATGTTCACTTAGGACTTTTAAAAATAAAGTCTGAGGATTTACTAGTCTCCAGTAAACATAAGGAAAATAACACTTATTTAATAACAAGCACAGTGTTAAATATTTAATGTACTTTATGTCAATTTCCTGACAGTAATTATATGTTACGAATATTATTATCCTGATTTTAGAGATGAGGAAAAAAGCTAAGAAAGTTTATTTGACGACTAATAGAGCAAGGATTCAAAATCAGATCTACTTGATATCTTCTGCTTAACTAGTTTTTCCAAAAATAGGGAAACTTGTCCTATGAGATGTTTCACCAATAAAAGTTTTTGTGAGTCAAATACATTTTGGAAACTTTGCAAATGAAAGTGTCTACCTTGAAATTTAATACACACAGCATATTAAAGTCATGTTCTAAAGAAATCTGTATGTTTAATTTCTTTTCTCCCAAATTATTTAATTGCCCAACCTTTTTTAAGTAAAATGTGTCTCGAGGAAGTGGTAGTATAGAGAAAAAGCTGTAGTTGCCTTACTGTATCCTAGTGTGTCCTAAATATTGTATACGTGTTATCATATACCCCTGTTAAGTGGATGTTATTTCTCACATTTTGTGGATGTAGAAACAGGCTTGGAGACTTAATCGAATTATCCAGGTCACAGCCAATAAGTGGCAAAGCCAAGACAGGAACTTGAACAATCAGACTATAAATTTTGTGCTATTTTCTAGCTGTTTCCCATTCTATGTTGGTCCCATTCTTGAAAAAAAAAAAAAAAATCACTTTTGAAGCAATACTTAGAAAAGTTTTATAGCAACCTATTACTAAAGATATTTGCCTGAGGTTAGGAGTTGAAAAGAAGACTCCACTGTCTAGAAAGGAGGCTAAATCCTTAGTTTCAGTAAAATTTGTCCTCAACTTGTACTTAATAAGGAGGAAGCTGAAGCGGGCAGATCACTTGAGGTCAGGAGTTTGAGACCAGCCTGGCCAACATGGTGAAACCCCATCTCTACTAAAAAAAAAGGAAAACAAAACCAAAAACACAAAAATTAGGTGGACATGGTGGCAGGCGCTTGTAATCCCAGCTATATGGGAGACTGAGAGAGGAGATTTGCTTGAACCCAGTAGGCAGAGGTTGCAGTGAGCCAAGATCACACCATTGCACTCTAGCCTAGACAACAAGAGCGAGACTCTGTCTCAAAAAAGAAAAGAAAAGAAAATGGCATTTTAGTTCATTTTTTAACTGAAGATTTATGAGATTTCCTTTGATTTGATCATTAATATAAACATGATTAAACCAGTGAGGTGTTTGATGTTTAGGAAGTCTTTGATAAATTTTTATTCCGTTCCCTCTTGGTTGTGCTTTACTGCTAGCTGAAGTAGACGATAGATTTTCATAATTAGTCAATTAAATTTATAGAACGTTATTAAATTATCAAAAAATATATGGCTTGAACTAGTTTGTCCTTCATGGCATAGACAGTCCAGAAACCCTCACAGATTTTAAAGGAATCAGGTGCTGTTGGGCCAATTTTCTGCCAGTTCAAAATCCGTATTCTGGTTTGCGTCTAATGCCTACCTTATCCTACTTCCAAAGGTAAATTTCCTGTGATTGGGTCTGGATCCAGACAGAAGCTGATAAGTAGAAAGAACTTGCTCCTCTGCAATCAATTCTTGGCTTTTTGCTGTTTTTTTGCTGCTGTCTGGTACTATAACCAGCTGTGTCCCTGGAATGCTAGTCAACACTTTGTTTTGTTTTAGAACATTAACTCTTTTAGTCATATTGTAACTCCAAAATTATATAAATTAGTTGATTTTTACTTTTAGCTATGAGTTGTTTACTTCCATAGAAGTAGGCGTAATATTAAATCAGAGAATAAGTAGCACATTTAACTATTGATCAATAATTCCTAGAGTTTGGTCAGCAGGTATTTTTCTAATTCAGATAATTAAATAATGAGTATTTTATGAAGTCAAGTGTCTATGATTTCATATTTTAATAATTGTCTTCCCTTCAAATAGTTATTGTGGTTCTTTTGAGAAAAAAGAGACAAAAGATTTATCTATATAGCTTTATAGGCCTCCTACTTTCTGAATATCTTAAAAAAATTGGTTTCATATATATTTTTCTGTTTCCTGCGTGTTTGTGTTGCTACGTTCCAGACATCTTGGTAGGCACTATAAAACATTACCTCCCAAGATGCCTTTATTACAGAGCAGTTCTCACTGGAATATTTACAGGTAAGAGCCACAACAGTGTGTCCCACCCAGTTATAAAGTAATTCCTAATCCCTTGCCTACTAAAAATAGAAAATTCACATTCTAATAAAACATTAAATAGAAAATATTTACTTTCTAATAAAATATTCTTTTGAAATAATTAAACAGTGAGAAACATTAAATTAATGATATCTAAAATCGTTTTAACTATAAAACTTACTACTAGAATAATTCTCTAAATGAAATCTACTAACTCAAATGTCAGAAGACTAGTTGCTTTGTCATTTGTATATTGTGCTTGTTGATTTTAATTATAATTTATTTTATTTTTGTGTAATTTTAATTTGTGAAGCTCAGTTCTGCCTGCACATACTAAGACCAAATCAGTGACTAGACAGGACATTTCCCTTCATCATGAATGCTTTAACTCAAGAGTATTGAGATTTACTGATGAAATACTGGTTAGGTAAGAACATATGGAAGTGATATCTTCCATTTCCCTTGTCTATTGTTGTGAACCAAAAAAGTTGAGTTGTAAAATTATTTCTCCTCTGATGTCCTTCATTTTGTTTTGGTGTGGCATCTGTTCTTGGTAATGAAATTCTAGACATTTTGTTTTATTGCTTTCTGTATCCAGTTTTTTTCATAAGTAGGTGTGATTTAGTCTCATTTTTCAGTCTGAGACACTTCTAAAAATTATGCAAAGCAATTTAAGCATAATCTTTGTTTAGCTTCATTTTCTAAACAAAATTTTACACTGTCATTCTGTCAACTCTCTCACACCCTTATGAACTGAATCCCAGTGATTCTACATTTTGTGTAAAGGGGACATTATTTTATGCTTTACTCTCTAACATGGTCTTCCTTTCTTTGTTTTCTCTGTCTTTCTCTTCTACCACTGGATGCAATGCACTGGCACTAGTGAACTGCAGCCCTTTCTTGACAGGGCTAGGAGTGCTAGTACCAACTGCTTGAGACCAGATACTAGTTTGCATTCACCAGAACGAGAAAGGTATAAAATAAAGACTTTCTTAATTTCTTATCATTTGTACTAGTGATTTTTTTTCAATCACTTTGTTTTGTTTCATGACAGCCTCACAGGTTTATTCATTCATGTTCACTTTGCTAATTGTCTACATTTCCCCCTCCCTTATTATACATGTCTATGTAGAGATATGCGTACGTGGATAAACCCAAGGGTACACATACACATATTTCTATGAATGTTGTTGCAAATGGTGTGATGTAATTTGTAACTGCTTCTGGCTGCTGCTTTTCCCCTTTTGTTGCTGTTCAGTTGTTTTATTGACTATTCAGGAAGCCTTCAGTATGCTGATAATGTTACAGGGTCCAGTGAATTATCTGAAGGGGAGGATCACTTTCCTCTGAGTACCACTGATAAATAGTATTTATAGGTTTAACAACAATCTTATGTAAACTCATAACAGGAATTCTTTTTAAATAGAATACTTCCTTTGTATATCTACATTCATTTTTAATCAATCTACTCTTCAATATAATGTTTTACCATAAATTATACTTTGACAACAAAAATGATGTTATTTATAGATTTCCTGATGCCTAACAAAAAGAAATACATATATACGTACACAGACAATTTTGCTTAAAACTTTAATGAATTCTGATTTCAATTCAAATATATTCATTGATGATGTGTTACACTGTCTCTTAGCTGTAAGCATCTAATTTTTCCATTGTGATGGAACTGTTTTAATAGACTTAGTTATAATTGATAGTCTTGTTTATAATTGCTATCTCTTTTTAATTAGAGGTCATTCAGAAGACATTTGCATACTACCTCTTACAAATCCTGAAGAAAAACATTTAGTTGTGCTAATGTAACCCACTTCTCCTTCTTAGTAGGCTACTCAAAGCTTTTCTTTAGGTATCTTTCTAATCTGAGTCTATTCATTTATTCATAAGATATTTACTTCTGGAATTGAACAATAGGTACAGGTGTGTATATACCTTGTTTTAGCATCTTAAGAATTTACTTTTAAATTGTGTATTCTTTTATATTTGTAAAATGTGTAATAGAAAAAAGTGAAATTTAATTTGTCTTGTATCCCTTTTGTAATATAAATTTTAGTTGAAATGACTATAGAGTCTTCTAAAATCATAATTGGAATCGTTTTATCATTCTCTTTAGTCAAATATAACCCCTCCCCCAAATAATTTCAAGAGTAACAAGAAAATTTTAAAATATGTTTAGTTATTATTTTCTTACATGTTTCTGGTTAGTAGTAAAACAAGGATAGAAATTCTCAAGTCAGTAGAATCTTCTGACCATAGCAGCCTGACATTTTCAATATTATCCATATCAGTGCCATCTGATAGAAACATAACACAAGCTGATACTTTAATATTTCCTAGTCGCCGTACTAAAAAGATTAAATTAATTGTAATTTTTTAACCCAGCATATTCGAAAAATAATTTTCACGTCATTATTATACAAACTGTTAGATATTTTGCACTCCCTTTTTTCAGCATAATAAGTCATAGATACTAAAGATAGTTTGTACTTGCAGCACATCCCACTTTGGACTAACCACATTACCGTGCTCAATGGTTTCATGTGGCTTGTGGCTTCTGTACTGGACAGTGCAGGTCTATTGTTATGGTGAACCTATCTAGCATGTGTTCCCTTGTGACACTGAAGCCACAGAGTTTATAAATCTCTGTGTTGGTAAATTTAAAACAGCTCAACCAGTAGACAAACAATCTAGGGTCAGTTGTTGCACAGGTTGTTGTAAAGTCCAAGTGAGTGTATTTACCTTGATTAGAAGAAGAAAAAATATCATTGAAAATATATATTCACTCTACATAATGAATAAAAAGGAATTTTTCATTTAAAAACTCAATGATAACAAGTCTTGGTATTATCAATTATCCTAAGTTTATTGGGATCACTTTGTTGCCAAGAGGAACAGCAATTTTATGTAATGTAAAATAAACAACAATTATTTTATGTAATGTAAAATAAAACTTAGATAAGATTTCATCAAATAATTACAGAAGCTGTAGATGCTTATTGGTTTGGAGGATAGAGACTACATGTACCCTTTGTGAACATGCCTATAAAGCAGCTTTGAAGCAGAAGATAACAATATCAAGAGTGGTGACTTTGTTATCTTTGGAGAATGCATCTGAAGCCCCCAGACAGTATGCGGAGAGTAGGAGAAGGGAGTCTTAGAGGGTTTTGAGGATACTTAATTTTTCTAATTTACCACAGGGATTATTGTATTAATGTCTAATATATACATAGTAGATAAAATGTTAGAGCAAATGTTTTAAAAACTTAATTTTATATTCTTAAGAGATGAACATTATTTCTACAAATTTGTGAACTATGTATGGTCAAGCAATTTGATTATTCTAACCCATTTTGATTAACATTTACATGCCTTTATATCAACTTAACTCCTAACCTTTAATACAAGTTTTCTGTTAAGATAAAGGGTGAAATTGTCAAAGCACACTCAGTACTCAATATAATACTTTTCTAATGATTCAGAAGATAAAAGAGCAGCATTCTTTTCCTGAAGGAGTTGAAAACCATCAGATACACCTGTCTTTTCTCCCTTGTTACATGGTTTGGCCTATTTTAACAGATGACTTTTGAATAATGCATGTAAAAAGCAGTTTGGAAAGGAAACCGTTTTAGTTTAGGAGCACCTCCATTTCATGTTCTGTTGATTACACAAATGGAAAACATACTTATGGGTTACCATAATTCAGTGAATTATTCCAATTCAGTTTTGCTTCTTAAATCAATATATTTGAGGTTTATTTGTGATAAGAAATAATTTATCATTTATATCTTCCCATTTCCCTTGCTTCGCTGGATTGGCAAGGAGTGAGTTACAGGCCTGCTATTAACCTTTGTTTTTCTAGGTTTTCAAACAAATTATTACTTACATGTTCAGAAGCAATGATTTTTAGAGCCACTAGAGAAAACTTACTTTTCTTGGATGGTTTATCTTCTTCCTTGACCTTTCAGAGCAATCATATCCTTGATGAAGGCTTATGAAAAGGTAGTTTATACTTACTGCCTGCATTTTTTACCTTCCAGTAATTCCTGCAATCTAATGTCTACTCATTCCTAGTACTCTGTAGCTGTGCTGAAATTCTTCTGTGGTTTACATTGGCTCCCTAGTTGTTCAGCAGCATCTTGCAACATTTTACATTGCCCATGCTGTCACTTGAATCTCTCCTCCATTAAGTACCTCTGCAGATTTTCTTAAAACCTCTGTTATGATGTCACCTTTGAAGGCTTGTCTTTCTCCCCTGTCCCATAAAGATAGGTATTTCCCTAGCTGCACCTCCAGTTTTCCTCTTTTGCCCTACCATACTGTCCTGTTCCTTAAATTTTATTTCTATAAAAGGTTCCCACTCCAATACATATGAAGACAACCCTCCACTGTGATTGACCAGGCCTAAATTTCTAAATGGTGATGTCTAAATCAACTTCGTTATCCCCGCTTCAGTCCCTTTACAGCAAAATGCTTCCTCTTTCTAAATATTCCTCTCATTTTATGGTTTTGACATATAACCAGCCACATAATCTGGAACTACTTCTCTTCCTGCTCTGTCACAAATTCAGTCACAATAAATTCAATCACTTCCTTTGGAACAGGTCCCTCACCTTGAATATATTGATAGATAGCCCTTCTGCAATTTCAGTGACACTCCTGCTCCCATTAATTTTCTTAAGTTCTAATAGTCTTTGTTAACTTATATCTCATTTTCTTTCTATTAAAATTAAAATATTCTTCTTTGTTGTCTGCCTAAATATTCTGCTCATTGTTCAAAAATATAGGTTAAATACCATATCTTTGTAAAACCCTTCTTAACCTCCTCCCCTGTTCTCAGTCCCCCCATCAACATGCACGCATACTTCCCTTTCTTTTGCCAGTCAGAATTATTTACTACCTTTTCTGGGCCCACCTAATTTTATATACTTCTATTAAAATACATTGTATTTTACTTAGTACTGTAGTATGTTTGTGTCTTCCACTATATTGTGCTGTTCTTCCACGATATCACCATATAGTGGAAGAAACACACACACTAGGCTTAAGGAAAAGGAAATTCTTAGCTAAAAATCAACAGCTGTGCATTGAATTGAAATAGATATCATAGGTCTTGTTTCAGAGTATAACTATTAATTAAAATAAGTTAAATTTAGTTTAAAACAATATTGGGGAAAAAATCAAGGACTGAAGTGAATAATGAGAACAGACAATAAAAATACATATGTGTATAATCAGTTACCTCATTTGGTTTGGTTTTTAATATTTTCTAATTGAGGGCAGGGATAATATCCTATTTCTCTTTTCCATCTTTAGTGGCAACATGATATATTTCTTACTTGGTAAATGTTTCATTTGGGGAGTTTAGGGGCTTAAAAAACACCTTCTACTTTTCACTTCAAATTTGGATTGAGCTGTGAGTTAGACTCAGGTACTAGAAAGATAGGAGATTTCATTTTCACTATAAGTACTTTGAACAGAATTGAAAGCTGTGGCTTTGAGTCTGCAAGATGGCTAATAACTAATCCCAGAATCAGCCAGATTTACTGAGCCACACAAACTTCTGCTACAGGGTCAGGCCTCAGATCTCATCACTGCTTTACAAGTCTGTCTGTTGTGCTGTTTGCAGGCATCATAATTTGGAAAAAGGAATCCAGAAAGGGCTAAGTTTCCTGTGCCCGATTCTTTACCATGGTCACCCATCATATAAGCCACTCTTTCCTCCTTGGGGTGCGATGAGAAAAGGCTTACTTGAATGAATTTCCCTCGTAATGGAAACATGAGACTTAAGGGAAAGGAGGTTCCTACCTAAAAATCAATAGTTATATATTGAATTGAAATATATATCATAGATCTTGTTTCAAAGTATAAGTATTGGATGGGCACGGTGGCTCACTCCTGTAATCCCAGCACTTTGGGAGGCTGAGGCGGGCGAATCACTAGGTCAGGAGTTTGAGA